CTCGTTTTAGTAAATCATGGCCACGTTGTACTAATTCGTTCCCTTGTTTTAGTAAATCATGGCCACGTTGTACTAATTCGTTCCCTTGTTTTAGTAAATCATGGCCACGTTGTATCGTTCCCTTGTTTTAGTAAATTGTGGCCACCTTGTACTAATTAGTTCCCTCATTTTAGTAAATCATAGCCATGTTGTACTAATTCGTTCCCTTGTTTTAGTAAATCATAGCCACGTTGTACTAATTCATTCCCTTGTTTTAGTAAATCATGGCCACGTTGTACTAATTCGTTCCCTTGTTTTAGTAAATCATGGCCACGTTGTACTAATTTGTTCCCTTGTTTTAGTAAATCATGGCCACGTTGTACTAATTCGTTCCCTTGTTTTAGTAAATCATGGCCACGTTGTACTAATTTGTTCCCTTGTTTTAGTAAATCATGGCCACGTTGTACTAATTAGTTTCCTCATTTTAGTAAATCGTGGCCACGTTGTACTAATTAGTTTCCTCATTTTAGTAAATTGTGGCCACGTTGTACTAATTTGTTCCCTTGTTTTAGTAAATCGTGGCCACATTGTACTAATTCGTTCCCTCATTTAAAAAAATTGTGGCCACGTTGTACTAATTCGTTCCCTTGTTTTAGTAAATCATGGCCACGTTGTACTAATTCGTTCCCTTGTTTTAGTAAATCATGGCCACGTTGTACTAATTTGTTACCTTGTTTTAGTAAATCGTGGCCACGTTGTACTAATTCGTTCCCTCATTTTAGTAAATTGTGGCCACGTTGTACTAATTTGTTACCTTGTTTAGGTAATTGTGGCTATGTTGTACTAATTCGTTCCCTCATTTTAAAAAATTGTGGCCACGTTGTACTAATTCGTTCCCTCATTTTAGTAAATTGTGGCCACGTTGTATTAATTTGTTACCTTGTTTTAGTAGATCATGGCCATGTTGTATCGTTCATTAATTTTAGTAAATTGTGGCCACGTTGTACTAATTAGTTCCCTCGTTTTAGTAAATTGTGGCCACGTTGTACCATTCCCTCGTTTTAGTAAATCGTGGCCATGTTGTACTAATCTGAGGTGCGTTTCCCAAAAGCAACTATGGTCGTAAGTTCCGTCGTTACCAATAGAGTTCAATGGAACTAATGACCATAGTTAGCTAACTATGCTTTTGGGAAACGCACCCCTGTTTCTTTGTTTTAGTAAATCATGGCCACGTTGTACTAATTTGTTTTTGGCTTTAATAAATCGTGGCCCATTGTATTAATTTGTTCCCTTGTTTTATTAAATTGTGGCTACATTTTACTAATTCATTCTCTTGTTTTGACTAAACAAAAACAAGGGAACTAATTTGTATAACATGGCCATAATTTCCCAAATCGAGGGGACTAATTAATAATTTGTGGGAACAAATTCTTAATTGGCCACGATATGTATTATTCCTGCATGTCATGTGTTGGGCTCCGCAGAGATTACATACAAAATCAAAAAAGATGAACACACAAAAAAAAGTACTAAAAACTAAATTAAAAAGAAAACTTGAAATATAAATGTTATATTAAATGTTTTTTATAAATACTAAAATAGTGTAGAAATAATTGGCAACACAATTTGATATGATATTGGAGTCCAGTACGTAACTACCTAGCAACCAATCAGAACAGTCTAGTAACCACATAGCAATGTGTTAACAACCACTTAGAACACTTTATAAGCCACACTGCAGTGCACTAATTACAGTACTACAATGAACATCTTGGCAACTCCATAGCAACACCATGGCAACCACCTAGAGTAACTTAGCATTGCAGCTACAGTTTTGCAAATACCACTCACAAAATGTCAAATCTTGCTATCAAAGTCAAATAACTCCGTGCAAAGCTTGTCCATTATAGCATTTAGCATTATAAGTGGATTACTGTGTCAGGCCTTTATAATATATTGAAGGCACACTTTAACTTTATGAAGATGAGCACATGCAGGTTAGAGAGTGAATTGTGTTCGCACCTCACCGTTATATATTAACTCCATCTAGCCAGTGCCGAGTTACAGTACAGAGGTACGGCCGACGTGACGCAGAAAGCGTGTCCTTGAGGCTTAACTCTAATGGACATTGTACAACACAACGAACACACACGGCTTACACAGATCTCAATGCGTCAAAGCATGCTTCAAGATGAAAATGAAATGCTTTAGGAGTGATATCTTAAATCTGATTTTAAATCAACACTTTCTTTTCAAATAAGGACAACAGATAAACTGCAAAAAATTATTTTCTTACTTAGTATTTTTGTTGTTTTCCAGTACAAACATCTAAACATTCTTAAATCAAGATACTTTAAGAAACAAAATTACTTAAGATATTAAGTCTTGTTTTCCAAAACATCATAAAAATGAAGGTCAAGAAACAGGGTAAGAAAAATAAACATTTCAAACGGAAAACAAGATTATTTTTCTGACCCAACTGGCAGGAATTTTGTTTAAGCTCACTTAATTGTTGAGGAAACAAAACTGAATGTCTTATGCAATTTTGCTTCGAATTTTTATATTTTTTTATTCGAAACAAAAATACAAAAATATTTTTTTAGTGTACTACCTTTGTTCACTAAAAAAGATCTTATCTACACTGCAATAAACAATCTTCTTAAACATTATTTTTGATTTGTTTTCCAGGTGCCCATTTCAATAAGGAGGTTCAACCAACTCCGAGTTGACTTACCCTGAGATGGGTTCAGAATGGCTGAATTGAGTTAGTTAAATTGACTCGGAGTAGGTTTACTCTGAGTTTAGCACGTGCATCACGACTATGAAAAGCCATGATCAATGGAGCTCAGAAATTATGATTCACCATGGCAACAGCACCCGGCAAAAAGACATCCGCATACCTCCGAGTCAATACATAACTTTAATTCTTAATTACTGTTATAATATCAAAGGTAAAAACTGGCAGAACGGTAAATTATTTAAGTAATATAAATTTTCATGGTATCCTACAGGCAAAAGAAAGAAAAAAAGAACAACAACAAAAGCAGCTAAACATGAATTATAAAAACATAATTCAATCAAGGTAAAGCTTTACGCATAAAAGGTTCATGAGTGTAGACTACATGACTTTACAAACATTTGACATATTAAATAAATATCATTCAGTGTCTATTTCAGTGCGCAGCAGCTTTTTCCACATAGTCTAATGCACTTTTCACATAATTAAATATTCTCTAATCCAACCTGCTTCATTTCTTAGAGTAATGAAATTAACATTTGACTTCTACTCAGCCAACAGTAAGAAGGCTTGCAAAATAATGAAGAACAGATGAAGAGGAGATGGCCACAATACCAAATAATGGAAGAATACAATCCAACAGGAAAAAGAATACCTGTTGCTTTTGTATTTGTGGGAAATAAAGATGACCAAATAAATTTAACAGCTGTGGTGGTGGTTACGTCATATATCACAAACTACTAGGGATGCACGGTATTATCGGACTGATACCGGAATCGGCCGATAATGGCTTCAAATGTAAATATCGGCATCGGCCCGATATGAAAAATTATGCCGATATGTCTTGCCGATAAGAGGAATAAAACATTCTTAAAGCAACGTTTTGTCTGAATGATGATTAGATTCACTGTTTGGATCGCTGCATTTAATCTGTGAAAGCACGTACAGCATGATGCGTTTGGTGTGTGATAGAGTAAACAGTAATAGCACGTGCAGTGGCGGCAGCCTCCCCCGGGTCCTAACGCCCGTTTTAATCGAAAGGAGTTTTAATCTGTAGGGGGCGCTGTTGGCCTACTTCTAATAAAATTAAAAGTAAAATAGCCTACACAAATAACATTTAGACTGTGTTTTTGATTAAATAAAGCAGTAATTGATGTCATAAAATAATGAGTAGGTTTTGATATAAAGGTCAGAAGCTATAGCTTAAATGAAAAAAATAACAAACATGACACTTGTAAATTGAATAATTGTATATATACTGATTTATTCATTAATGTGTAATATGTTTTATTTTTTAAAC